TGCTCCACTGTTTCTCTATTCCACAAAGGAAAAACATTAAAAATCTTACTTCCTCATAGCTATAGTTACTTTTAACTTTACCCAGTAGGATTTTACATAATGTATCTACAATTACATGGTTACAGATTAACTGTATCCAACTGTATAAAGTATAAACACTATCAGGTTCATTCTACTGCCAAATGAGTAGCTTACTTTTATGTTTGATACATTAAGCAGGCAACATTTGCTACTAATACTTCAGTAACACATTTACTGCAAGGCTACTAATGAAGTTTATTTTGTGGTATTGCTGAAAGAATACATTTAATTTGTGGAAAAGAAAACAGCAAAAACACAATAACAAAACAAACAGCTGAACATTATTTATGCCTTCTAATAAAGGCACCACTTAGCTATCTTTTTCTTTTATTAAGGTTTAGTCCTGTTTACCTTAAAGTTAACCTACTCCCTCCACAACTACAGAGCCATCAGCCAGGTCTCCAGTATAAAGTACACTATTTCCCCCTGAAATGCAGGCTATAAATTGTCACAAAATACACACATTCAAGTACAAACGTAAGCTCTTTTATGAATATGTACTGGAATATAACACTAATTTATTTAAAGCTACCATTAAGTGTGATAAAGTTACAGCTCATATCATGATGATTATATAAATACTCCTTTAAGGTTTGTTTACTTTCACTTCCTGGTATGGATTACCCATGATGCCTTGCTGCGGCTATAAATACCCGTCGCCCCGCTGTAGCAGAGCCAGTTGCTGCTGTGAGTCGACGCGGTGAAGTCTGACCAACCTCTCCCACGAACAGTCGCATTAGAGAGCCTTACCGCGACAAGGTTTTGTCTTAAATTACGGATGGTGAACTTTTCTGTGGAGTTTTTACTGAACAGTAATTGTTTTAGTTGTCAAAAAGGACCCAAAGACCCGTGTTTCCTCGAAGCTATCATGCTGAACACCGAGGAAAGGTAGGAGGATGCTTCTAGAAACCATTAAAAAACGGAGGATGGGGACTCAGCTAGTTCAGTCTGTTCGTTACCGTGTGCGCTGAACTTTTAGACATTATTACACTATCACATATTCAGACTTTACTTTTAGCTGGCTCGCAAAATAAGAGGAAAACAAGTGGTAAAAGTTAAACATGCAGCGTGATGCAGTGGACACAAAATGATGTTACAAGAGCGTTTAAGGTCTTTAAATTTACGGGATTTTAATGTAAATCTCAAATATTAGACCTTTATTTTGGAGGGAGCCTGCAAGTTATTTCTAGTTCAAAAACTGTGAGGAACAGGGCTGCAGCCAACGATCACTGTCGATTATTATTGTAGCGAATAAGTGATTAATTGTTCTGTATAATGGATACAAACTGTAACTCAGGGTAGCTGCTTTTGTTTAGCTTATTTGGTCTAAAACTCAAGCATATACTTTATTTAAAAATCCAATTTCCAAAGGTAGTAAACAGAGAAATGTTACAGAACCTTACATTCAGGAAACCGTAAATAAATAAATAAATAAATATTCTCTGTTTTAGTTGTTGCACCGACTCGCCTCTTGGCTATCGCCTCATTGTAAATGACAATTGGTTCTCAGTTGACTTATTTTGGTGTTAAATAATTAATAGATTATCAAAATACTACAAAAGAAATGAGTTCAATGCAGGCCTACTGGAGAAAAAAAAAAGACTTTCAACTAGTGCTGAAATAACTAGTCTATTAATGGATGAGTTTATGGACAGAACCATTTACTATTTAATCATTTATATCACTGTCTGTTGTATCTCTCCAGCCAATTTATTCATCACCTTGGGAAATTGTAGGGCGGCATTTCTACAACTTTCTGACCTTTTTTTTATTACCTAAACGATAAAAAAATCAACCACACAGTCGATAATAAATAAAAATTAGTTGCAGCCCTACTAACAGCTTTGTTTAGGCTAGGCTTTACTACCCCTGTAGGTGCTGTATATTTCTAATGTTTGACCTTTTCCGGTTTTACCACCCCAGTAGTCCCATAGAGATTCAGTGTCACTGTGGTAGTAACACGTCTTTTATCATGCAATACTTCCTCCTTATCGAGAGGTAGACCTAAGATAAAGGATTTTATGAGCAATGACACAGATGAACCGCAGCCTGTGTGTTTTCTCCATACAAAATCGGAGGCACAAGCCTTGTTTTTTGTCCTCTGTGGGTTGACCATCTGACACACAGAAAAGGAGCGGCCCATTGATGCTGTGAGCCAGAACAGTGACTATATTAGCTCACTGACTGTTCTGGCCCTGTCAGCTGAAGGCATCAACTGGCCTACATCAGCCCGGTTACATAACCCCCTCCCCTCCACTGGTTCACGTCTCAAACATCAATGGAATCTGTTTGTGTTTGTACGGGGGGTGGAAGGGGTACCAGAGAACAAGACGCACGTACATATGCTCGTGTGATTATTTACTAGAAGTCCGACTTGTGTGTCAGCGTTTGGTCAGTAAAACTCGGCGGTGTGACTTTTAACGCACAGGTGTATGTGAGTGAGATTGTCATGTTTGGGTATTCATTTAAATGGCCAGGATCAGGGGCATCATGCAAGTCAAAGATGATTCCGAAACAAGGCGGGAGTACAGGGTGGGTTCAGTCAGAGAACAGCTGGATTGTGTAACTCTGCGCCCCTCTAAGTGACCGGCAGACTGAACTGTTCAGTGGTTGCTGAAAGATTCTCAGTCAGAGCACTGTCGAATTTTCCGTCGACAATAACGAAACCAAAACATAGGCCGTGCCCACCAGTTTCAGCTGACATGCGGAATTGTCGGCGTCAGCTATTACATGCACCTACAAGTGAGTTGCAGACAGGCTTGGAATGAAACGCATCGCCCTGGAAAAAAAAAAGGCCCACACACTCTGGCAGAAAACGTAGAGGCTCTTCACATGCAGTAGTTATTATTATAGCATTAGTTAACCTTTTAGTTTAAAAAAAATAAGTAAAAATGATTCATTGTTTGGGCCATAACATATCAGACTAAAAAAAAAAAAAATCAATAAAAAAAGCTGGACTGTTGGTTTGACAAAACAAGACCTCTGAAAACATCACCTTTGGACATTTTTCACTATTTTCTGAGCAAACAATAATAATTGAATCAAGACAATAATGTCCCCACGTGCCCACTGAAATACAGTATAGCAGCCAGTTTGTGCACCAATGCCCCACAGATGGCTTAGTGCCGAGCACAGCCTGCTTTTCGCTGATGGCTGAATATGTTGACGTTGTTTTCTGCCAAAGCTAATGTTTCCACAACAGGCAGAAGACGTAAAGGCTCATGCTGTGTAAATAAGATGGTTAATTATGACACCGCTTTGCTGTCGTCCCTCATTCTGGCGTCGTACTGTTACTCAAACTGCGCCTTTACTGACCGTGCGGTGCTGAAATAAATTTGTAGGTGCTGCTTTCCACAAACTACAGTCCGCCTGCGTTCTGGGTGGGGCAAATGTCTGCAAGGGATGTTTTTAAAAGGACCATGTACTGTAGTGTAGGGCTGCCTGTCTGCAGTTTGCTGGGTTTATGATTGGTATGGGTTATATTCAGAGTAATAATTCTTCTACTTTCCCAGGGTGGTAATCTTTACTTAACATATTTGTTGACTCGTTGCCACTGTGTTTTTACAGTTTCCTCCTGATCATTAACATAGGGGTCGCTTCTCTTGTCCTCTACGGCCATGATGAGGTGGACATCAGTGGTTTTGTGGTCTATCTGAAACTATGACATTGACTGTCATGAAATTTGCCGTCCTTGTTTTGTGTTAAGTTAACACTCTGGTTATTTATACTATTTTTTTTTTGTTGTTTCTGTGTTTTCTGTGTGTGCCCAGCGCTGCACAGCCACAGTTTGGCCAGAGGGGTCAGAGCAGCGGGTTTTGACAGGGGTACGTCCCAGCACACTCAGGTTCCAGAGCACGTGTGCCTTTCCTGTTTCTGTCTCGACGTGTTTTCCGACACGCTGCTCTGCCAAACTTCCAGGGGTCGGAGGAGGTCTGGGGACTGTTTACTTCCCTGCACACAGCCACATCTTGTTTGTCTCCATCGTATCATTTCACCACAGTTCTTTTTTTGGGGGGGGGGGCGGGGGGCTTGATTTTTTTGACAAACTGGGTTT